CACACACACACACACACACACACACACACACACACACACACACACTGCATCATCCATTCCTAAGAACAGTGGGAAGTCCAAGGACCTCAGTGAAGGTCGCAGAAGGAGAACTGTGAATTTACACAAGTTGTGAATGTCCATTGGACCCATTCCTAAACAACTACACTTTTCAAGATCATCAGTTCAACTATTGTACATAAGTACAAGTTATTCCAGTGTCTCACCACCTCACCGGTGTCTGGAAGAAGAGTCGAGCTGTCATTCTGAAATGAGACACTGGTTAGGATGTTCAGGAGCAACCCAGAAACCACCAAGGGTCAGGTCTGCTATGAACTGCTAACAGCTGCTACTAACAGCATCCACAATGAAGTGAGTACATCGCCATGGACAGAGAGAGTGCTGACTGAGAAACAAGGCCCCGCTCTGAAATAGACGTCTGCAAGCTTGACATGAAGCCAACTGCCCTTTGGAGACAATTCAAAATAAAAAATAATACCCAGTTCTTCTTCTTGTTTTTTTTAAGTTGTTAAAGACACATACTGTATAACCAGTCCACCCTGGAAAAAGAACGGCTGAAAGAAATCACTGAAGTCCAAAATGCGAGTTTGTAAACTGACCACAGCTGTATATGATAAAGAAGGTGAATGCTCTGTAAATGATGAAGGAAAGGCTCTGCCTTCACCTGCCTTTGCTGATGTAAATCAAAGTACATTCCACTTGGCTGTTTATAAAGAGAAATCTGTACATACTGTATGCATTGAAAACTTTATAAATCAGTGAATGTCAACAGTGATCCGTTTCTAATATTTATCGTTATCATAGACCTGAGCCCACATGTTTCTGCCCCAGCTCGTCACACTGTCCATAACGGTGTCTGGTCCTGAGTGTCAGTCGTGTGATTTGAAGTTTTATCTGTTTGTATATAGAGAAAGCAAGAGCACATCTTTGAATGCAGATTTGCCATCATGTTTATTCTTACAGGTAGCAGACTGACGTGGTTATGGACACTCCGTCAGCTTTTATACTCTGAGAATCAAAGAAATGACGAATGCACTTTTGAACCTGGTTGATTCTGCTGTGTTAAACACTCAAAGAGCTTTTCTGCCTTTTGTTTTTAATGACTCGGTGATGTTTCTATGACTGTTTTATTCTGTGACTCTGGGAGGCACCACTGGTACAGAGTAGCTCAAAGTCATTCAGAAAGACGTGTTTGTTGTGCGTTGGTCTGGTTATTCACATCGGCTTTTCAACAGCTGTGAATGTCCACTTTATTTAGATCATAAAACACTCTTAATTATGTGTTGCAAACTGTGGCCACCAAGATGTCACCCATTGGTTTATTATTATTATTATTATTATGAGGCCTCACCATTTTTTTATAGACACATTAACACTAAACAAGTAAAACGATAATGAAATACAAAATCTTTCCTTCCCAAAACTGAAGAAAAAGCTGATCTGTACCAGACCAGATAAAATCCAACAGATAATCCATTAAAATATCTCCAGTTCTGTGATCCTTGTAGTTCAGTTGGTAGAGTGCCACCAGCTACAGTTGTTAGCATGCTGCTAACTGTTCTATCTGTATTCCAATAACCAGAAAACGAAAACTATGTGTTATGGGGGTGTTAATCCAAAGGCTTTCCAATGCTGTAAAACTGGCATTTTAAAATGGGACACTTCATGGTCTGACTTCCTTTTAGCGGCAGCAGAAGTGGACCCTAGAGGAACTGATGGTTTGAACTTATAAAGCTTCAGTGTTTTTTCTGCTTGTTTGTTACCCCTTTAAAGAAACCCACACAGATTAGAAGTGTGTGTCCACAATTTATAAACTAAGGTGGATTCACAGTGCCTAGTTTTGGTCATCTAAAATTATCCAGACCCCAGCAAGACTGTCCTATGTTTGTAACAATTCTAATAGACTTAAGCACAAGAGAGAGGGGAAGATCTTGCAATGAGCTGAAGCATTAACTGTTATTTATTATTATTTGGTTTTCATATGTACCCGTTTTCAGTGATTTCAACTTTAATAGGAAATTAACCAGGCACATAATTCTTTCTCCCTTTTTTGCCATATTTTTCAAGTAACCTATATTTAACAACAGTGTAATAAAACTGGAAATTCTGTTTTTGGTGTGACACACCACTATTTTAGTGGCCCCCATATGGCCAGCCTTATGAAAAAGGTCTGGAGGTGCCCCTGATGACCATGCAGGTAATGGTTTTGGAGTTATACCGGGGAAGGCTGATATGTTTTGGTCGATGTGTCAGGGATTTTTTCCTAGCAGTAAACAAGAAAGATAAACGTAAAGGTAAATTACAGGATCATGTAGTCTAGAGCCGTCTGTGTGTGTGTGAAGTAGTTTGGCTGTTTAGTTGGGTTTGAAAAACAGCACCTGCCTACATTTGTTTCAAATTCTGCACATTTGGTTAGAAAATCAACGTTACCTGATTTTTCCCCACACTTCTGACACTGTGGCAATATAACTCTGATATGCAAAGATTTTGCACACGTCCCATGTCCTGAGATCAGGAAATGACAATAATACAGTTGTACTTTTTTGTTTAGCGGCTTCATTTGGTCTGTGATTATATCAAAGGTATATAAAAGTGTCTCTTTTCATTTGTTTGTACCCGTTTTTCTTCCGGGGGGTGTTCCACTGGAAGCGATCGTACTGCGTGGGTGGGTGTGTTGTTCAGTCCTCCGCGCCACGGTGGCGCTGTTTGCACGGTGAGAAACTGAAATGACGAAGAAAAAAATCTCCGGAAACTGCTTTTTGTGAACACGCGGTGCGTCCGGCCTTTCCGACGGAGCAGCGAAAAGGAACATGGTGGGGGACTCTCACTCTTCGACTAACTGCCAATTTTTGGTCTTTAAGAGCCGCAGAAACCCGTCTGTTTCGTGCTATATGCGTTCATAAACTTCTTGGGTACTTGTTAGTGCGTATGTTGGCAGGCAGGCTGCTACCAGAGTAGAATAAAATGATTTATTACGGAGCGCTCGTACCGACCAGCGCCGCTCAGCTGAGTTGCTAACCTGAAGCTAGTGGAAAAAATAGCGACAAGTATCTACTGCTGCTGCGTAGTTGAACCGAAGCATTTGGTACAAACAACGTGTCCTTGTTAATACTGGTAGCAAGTAGCTTGAATATTTCCCCTAAGTAATGCGAATGTGTAACGTACGGATGATGATGTTAGATAGTGTTGCGTTGTGCGTGTTAGCCGAACCGATGGCGTGTTAATGCCCATGCTCTCCTTACAACGTGTTTGCTTGTTTTCTGTCATTCAGGCCAAAATCAAGGCAAGAGATCTGCGGGGCAAGAAGAAGGAGGAGCTGCTGAAGCAGCTCGACGACCTGAAAAATGAGTTGTCCCAGCTGCGAGTGGCCAAGGTTACTGGTGGAGCTGCTTCCAAACTCTCCAAGATGTGAGTACTGAACATAAATCCTACTGAACCAAACCAACCCAGATGATCCTTAACCGGTCAGATAGATACTTGTAGTCAGGGATGCATGGGATGTCATTCACTTAGCATCCGATAGCACTTGAGTAAATACTTTCCCAACCACAGTTGTAATGAGAAATGTTTAGTTTTGCTGTTGTTTCGCTGGGTTAATCATGCTAATAGGTTTGGATTCCATGGCTCACTGCTGTCACTTGAAGAAGTACAGAATAAGTAATGACCATAAAGTCAGCAAGTTCAGAGTTGGCACACACTGTGAAAGAGTTGTCCTGGGGATACATTTCTTTGCTATAGGTAACCCCATCTAAAGAGAAACTTGCATGTAGTTTAACAGAAGTTTACATGGATGTTGAGTCATTTGAGTAACATGTGACTGCTCAGACTTCTAGCTCTGGCTGATTTGTTGGCCGTGTCCCTTTTAATGTGTTTAGGAAGCAATATTCTATTAAAATGTGTAATTGAAATACCTGAGAGTGAATATGAACAATGACTTAAAAGCTAAGAAGAGCAAATGAAGAAACAATATAACCAAAAATGATTGTTTAAAGACCCACGGATTTGTCTTTAAGTCTTCATTTTTGCCTTAACATTGACTTTGGTCCAGTATTTTAAAAGCGTGTTTGTATATTGATGTGTGGTTCACTCTGTTTTTGTTGCCTGACCTGAAATACATACACAACAAGACATTTGTTAGAATCATTGCAGTGTTTTTAAGTACATTAAAACAGCTAATGTGCTCTTGTCTTGGACACTTTCCTAAATGGTTGCACGGCTGACTTTGCTGTTTATTCTTCACAGCCGTGTTGTTCGCAAGTCCATCGCCAGAGTCCTGACTGTAATCAACCAGACACAGAAGGAGAATCTGAGGAAGTTCTACAAGGTGAGCCCCTCCAGCTTTTCCCATGTTAAAACACACATCTGCCTGCTTCGAACTCCTTCGGTTCTTGCTGATGCATCGCAGCTGATTACCAAAATTACTTGTGACTGTATTTGATATTAAGAAGTAAGAATTCTAAACAAGGCACGGCTGTGATTAGCCTGCTCTTCGTACCAGTAAGAATTACAAGTTAATTAAATGTTTTTGTTACTTCAATTTGATAAAATAAAGTTTGTTTCCACCAACATCAATTAAATTCATAACAGCCAATCGGTCGTTTGAATAAAACAAGTAATCACTGTTATTAACAACAAGATTACATAAGCACGGGGTATAAAAGCTGTGATGCTTTGACATGAGCCAGAATAACATTTAGAAACTTCTCCTGTGTCACTCTTTGTTCAGTTACATGTTGTAAGGTTTTAGTCAGTGTAAGCACAGTGTGATGCTCTGATGCATTAATGCATCCAGATGCAGCCATGCTGACTTCTTGTGTTTGCAGTGAACCCTCACGCAAAACATTTTGCTCTCTAAAACATGACACATCCGTGCTTGCAGATGGATTTTTATTGTGATTTATGCTTTTTAGCTTGACTGAAACATAACCGTTTTTGCAGGGCAAGAAGTACAAGCCCCTGGATCTGAGACCCAAGAAGACCAGAGCTCTGCGCCGCCGGCTCAACAAGCACGAAGAGAGCCTGCGCACCAAGAAACAGCAGAAGAAAGACCTCCTCTACTCGGTCCGCAAATATGCCGTCAAAGCTTAGAGGCATTTTCTAGTAACAAAATAAAATCTTTGGAACGTACTGTTTGTGTTGTTTCTCCATAAACACTTAAATACATACATGAACCAGGCCATGTTTCTATGT